AAATTAGTGTTCTGCAATTGAATTTTGCACTGTTGCTGTTGGTATAGCTGCTTGAATGTTACATTTTTAAAAAGAATTAGATTTTTTCCCCTGATACAAATTGTTGTTTACATTTATGAATATCTACTTCACTGCCTCATATACATGTCACTATGAATCTATAACACATTCGTTACCCAAGAGTAACTGCTTGCTTTCTGAGACAAATATATTTGATGACCTTTGGTTCTATGGTACCTGATGTTCCCAGTTTCTTAATTTACCTGTTTTTAAATTATGTAGCTGGAATTTGACAGTACAGTAACTTACCTTTTGCATTCTGAAGAAGTTGAGGAGTGTTTTGTTTCTGCATCTCTTTTTCCAAATTGTTTTGCCATGCTAGATCTGTATGTATTGACGTAGTGACAGTAGTTTCATGCTCTAGCTGATTGAGATTAGCCGAATTAGTGTGAACACCGATTTGCCTATTGAGCTGAAAAGTTATTACCTTGTATCTTCTTCGTCATACTGTGGTAAATGTTGTGATGACAATCTCGTTTGGCTTTATACAGGGAGAAATGGGCAACCATCACCTAGTTTAACATGGTCAACGAGACTGAAAATTGCTAAGGGAACAGCGCGAGGTTTAGCCTATCTCCATGAGTGTAGCCCAAGGAAATTTGTCCATGGAGACGTCAAACCTTCCAATATTCTCCTTGATACTGAACTGCAGCCATATATATCTGATTTTGGCCTCAATCGATTAATCAATATCACGGGAAACAACCCCTCCTCTTCTGGTGGATTTATGGGTGGAGCTCTTCCTTACTTGAAGCCTGCCCAACCAGAACGTCCCAATAACTATCGAGCACCAGAAGCTCGAATCACTGGTAACAGACCCACCCAAAAATGGGATGTGTACTCATTCGGGGTGGTCTTGCTTGAACTGCTGACTGGAAAGTCTCCTGACCTCTCAGTTCCTACAACATCCACTTCAACGGAGGTTCCAGATCTTGTAAGATGGGTAAGAAAGGGATTCGAGGAGCAAAATCCACTGTCGGATATGGTAGAACCAATGTTGCTTCAAGAAGTCCATGCTAAGAAGGAAGTACTAGCTGTATTTCATATAGCTCTTGCATGCACCGAGGCAGATCCAGATATTCGACCAAGGATGAAAACTATCTCAGAAAACATTGAGAAAGTTGGAGCTTAAACTTTTCGGTACACTCATGTCAAGGAGTTCCTGAGTTTCATGGACTTCTTTAATCTTTTTTTTGCAGTAATTGCTCCTATTATTTTTTTTCTTTTAGAGGTTAATCAAATCTTTAAACTTAACTACAGTACAAAATACCAGTGTGCTGCAACAAAATTCCTGTCATTTTTGAGAAGTTAATTAGTTGCTTATCTCTTTAATCTATTTCTGTAATTCTGATGTTAAAACAACTTTTCATGGCCAATAAAATTATAATTCTTTGTTACTGCAAGTCTGTTTGGATTGGCTTAAAAGTTCGTCATACCTACTTTTAAGTCATTTTTAGCTTTTGGAAGTGTTTGACTAAGTTAAAAATAACTTAAAATAAGTATAAATTAACTTTTAAAAAAAAGTTAAAAGCTAAAAGTAGGTACTTCTCTGCTTATCATTTTTAATTTTAAAGTTGCTTAAGTTTGACTTTTTAAAAGCTATTTTTAAAAAGCTACTTTTTTAAAGTTAAGCCAAACGGGCTCGTAGTAGTTGTTTGGCTTTTTTCCGAATTCACTTTTCTCTTTCTTCCACATCATGACATAACTGTTTCCACACCCCCAACTTAGGATTGAACCATCTATTCTCACCTTTCTTTTCATCCAACACTCCCCAACTTAAGCTTTTTAGGCTTCATATTGCAGTTACAATTAGCCAACAAAACAGTTTAAAAGCTTAATATGGGAGATTAAGGATAATATTTTACATTTAGAAGCATTATTTAGGTTAAATTGACTTGTATTTCACAAAATAAGACTAAGTTCATCTCTATAACTAAGCTATCCTCACACATGTGACATGACTAACCAGACAAGTTCTGGATTACATGCATAAACACAGTGACAACACCAAGTCCTAACACACACAATGACATCAGACTTATTTAGCTTTCATTATAACTCCCAAACTAGTACTCTAAGCATCATGTAATTTTCAATGTTAACCAAAATTAAGAGAGATATATGTCAATAAATACAGGTGGAGTTCAGACAACTTTTCCAAAAGGGTCCATTTTTTTCATCAAAAATAAGTTTCATGCCATAAGCAAACAATCTACCACCATTTAAGTCAAACCTACTTTATTCTACTTAAACTAAACATGAACTATTCCCTTAAGAAAGTCTCCTACCAATCTATCATCAGGAAAAATCTCACTCTAGATTCGATTATACCTAACCATTGCCCATTTCAACATCAAACTAATCTCCCGGAAAGGAACCATGACTAAGAAAAAATTGAAGGTGACTCAACTAGGATTGATGATATGAGGTGTATTTACACATCCAATCATCATATTTTATCCATTATTTAGCTAAGTTCTGAGTATAATCTTATAAATATCTATGTGTTTATTGTATATTTGTTGTGATGAGCTAATAGATATGACTAGGTTGATTTTAAGCCAAATACAACAAGAAAAGACCCAAAAGATGGATTGAAATGCAAAGTAGAGTGTCCCGAACTAAAATGGAGCCAAAAGGACTACAAGTCCACGCATTGGACCCCGCTCCGCGCGCAACCCCCTATTTGCCATACTAGAGTTGACCAAGTTAAAGCAGAGTTCAATCGGGATTAAGATTTTGATCCTATTGCTATAAGTATGTCATTAAGATGACATTTTTAGAGTTAGACATTATAAGTAGAGGTTACAAATTAGTCATAAAATATAGGAATTACTCATAGCATATTGGAAGATTCATTGTTCTTAGTTTTTAGTAGGGGTGTACATGGCCGGGTTGGTTCGAGTTTTTCAACCATCAAACCAAATCATTTGTGTCGGATTTTTAAATTTATAAACCAAACCAAACCAATAAAACTCGGGTTTTTCAACCTCGGGTGTTTTTTGGGATTTTTCGGATTTTTTGGTTTTTTGGGTTGTTTCGGGTTTTTCCGGTAAAGTATTCATACAAACATATAATTTACTAGTACTTCAAATATTTCTTTAGTCCTACCAAAATATAACTATTTAAGATGTTTCTTAAAAAATATAACATAATATGATATGATTAATGACACTAAAATATCCAACAAAAATAATAATAATGAAATCGCGTAAAACAAATATTGCAAATTAACAAGTCATAATGAAAATGATCATAATTTAAAAGTACTAAATCATGCTAAAATTAAATTTAATAAGTATTAGTTACATGACTAAATATTAAAGGAAATTAAAATTAGACTATGTATTTTAATTGTCTAAACCAATGTAAAACTAAAGAACAAATATTCAATATTATTGTCATTCTTAGTGTTGAATTGATTTTCTTTTTGCATTAGTATTAATTTGATTTTGATTTAAGCTTTATTATAATTACCAACATTTGTGGACTATAATCTTTATTTTGCCCATTCTTAATTCTAAGTTTCAAACTTGAAATAATATATTAAAAGATAAAAACTATGAAAAAGTATAAGAAATATTTTAAAATTATATCAAAGTAAATATTTTTATGTATAAAATAAAATTTTAAAATTATTTTATATAATGTCGGGTTGGTTTGGTCTCGGGTTGATTTTTTTTAGTTAAAACTAAACCAACCCAAATATAGTCAGGGTTTTTTTTCAAAACCAAACCACTAGTCGGATTTTTTTTCCGGGTTGACTCGGTTTGCGGTTTGATTCGGTTTTCGGTTCGGTTTTGTACACCCCTAGTTTTTAGGGTTTAAATATAGTTTTTCTTAGACGATTATTGTGGAGCGAACAAGATTCTCTTGTACATTAATCAAAGGTGTTGTTTAATTTCTTTTATATTAATGTTCCTTAGTAGTTTAAATTATATTAGTTACTATTATTTATAACTAGTTATGAGTAACTTAACTGAAAACTAGGGTTATGGAACTTAGAGTAGGGATGATGATAATAGATTATTTACATTAAAATTAATCTTCTCACAGAGGGGTGATCATTGCATATTATGGTTCTTTTGTAAAGATTGCTTTTTAATGGCAACCATTAAGAACTTGTTTGTATTTTGACTTGTTTGACAAAAGAGGTAAAGATTAGAAAAAAGATTATTAACAGTAATTTGGAGCTATCAACCTCCATCTAATAGCTTGAGCTATAGCTAGGATAGCTAACCTAAGGTTTTTGATGAATGAACAAATTAATTTGACACTCAAGTGATGCCATGACTTAGAGTGATATTCTCTTAATTGGTCCGAGAGGCTTTAGGAGACATATAGACTCATCAGTTTTGCATAATGAACGTACCTGAATGAGTTGATAGTAAATTATCTGTTAGATTCCGTTCTTCACCTCCATTGCATATTTTCTTTAACCCTCTCCTCCTCCTCCATCTTCTTCTCCTTCCTCCTCCTCCTTCTTAATATTTATCAACATCCTTCTCCATTTTATTCTATATTTTCTTGTTATATAAGTTAGTTTGATTTGTTCTTCATTTTAATTTTTAACTTTTTGCCACGGTAGAATTGTTTTCTATGTGATTTTTAAAAAGAGAGTGTAATACAAACACCATCACATGTTATTTGAGGTGTGTTTTTTACGCTCCTAAAAGTTTAGGTGCGAAACAAAAAAAAAGGTTGTTTATGTATGTTTTTGACACTTGACAACCGTTTGAACCACCAAGGATTCTCTTCTTTTTGGTCCTCCTGGCCACCTTCTTACTATGCAATAATGAGACTAACATGATTTACCAACAATTTGGCAATATAAGGGTTGGAGATTCTATAGATTTATCAAAAAAATCACAGAGCATACTCAAAATCATGGAGTATGTGCATCATACATGAAAGCAAATTAAGAAGGAAATAAGCAATGTATGTGTATATATTGGTTAGTATTTCTTGGTTAATCCAGATCCACCATCCACCACCTCTGCAGTTAAGATCTCAATTGGAAAATCACAGTCTGGAGTGGAAGGATTATTTGTGGTCATCTTTGCTCCTAATAACTTGCATTTCCGCATATCTTGATTACCCATTTGGTAAAGCATATTATATGCATAAGAGACCTTCTCTGTGAAACTGAGGTGATCACACGTTGCACCAGAGCCAAATGCAGTGCAGTCTGATTTCTCACAGGCAAAGTCGTAATCTTGCAACACTAGGGTCTCGTTGTGATCCGTTTTACCATCAAACACACACCATCTGTTTGGCATTCGCACGGTACCTTTTTACAATATATATATAGCTAACAAGTCATTATATGAAAATTAATTATTGCCAATGATGACACAATTGAACATAAGTAGTACCTTTGGCAATGGAAGGCTTGACATCTCGGTCTTGCAGGGTGAAATCAATTTTGTACTTGGGAACACCATCGTGTTTATAGATACCCCAATGTCGTTGATAAGGTCCATAATCTGTAACAACCATATTCTCATCTGTTAAGCCAAGGAGATACATATCTATATCTCTATTTGGGCGTAGTGGAGTTCCCTCCTTCTTAGCAATATATTTAAGAAGTCCGCGATGAAATCTTTCAGCATTTTGTTCACTTGCACTCACATATCCATCTGTAGGCCAACCAATTTGTCCGACAACAATCTCCATATCACCATAACCTGCCCTTGCTAGAGCAGAAACAAGTGTATCGTATATGAAAGTAAAGAGATTAGTATAGGTGTTATTTCCATCTACGATTTTGAACTTGGATTTATTATCAAAGAAAGCAAAGTCCACATCAAATCCGTATCTATAAACCGTATAGATTGGGAACATATGGATAATGAAAGGGGCACCAGTTTTGTTAATGCTATCAAGAAATCCCAACATTTTCCCCTTTATGTCTTCTCGAAAATCACCTTCTGATGGCTTGCTAACATTTGTTAAGACGTCCGTGAAATGAGGAGTTGTTGCTTTGATATCTGGGAGGTTGAATTTATCAAGGGCAACTCTCGTCATATTCAGGAAACGGATAGTACCATTAAATTGTTTTTTCATATATAATGATTTTGTAAAGGGTTCGTTCCCTACGTACACATACCTACAAATCAATAACTTCGAGTTCAAATCTAGAAATGAAACAATAATAATCTACTTGTTTTGAATATTAAATTCATCACATCTACCTGAATTTAACTCCTTTTTCGGAATAAACTTTGACACGTTCATGAATATAGTCATCAATTTGTTTTTGCTCGACGGTATTTTTTAAAAAGTTCTCTTGTAAGGTGATGATGAGACCAATATTGGTTTCAGCAAAAGCATCAAGAACATGAAGGCTTGGTTGAAAAAGTCTCAACTCTGGAATTCCATTTTGTAAGAGTAAATCCACAACCATTGATGGAACAAACTTTTGTGTTGCCATCCTCCCCCAATTTATGCCCAAGTATGCCCCTACATGAATCTCACCACAAAATATTATCAATGACATCAATAAACTTATCCATAGCGAACTTATCTTTTTGTACATTGTGGATATTCTAATTCTTCAATAACATTCACAATCATATATATATGAAGGCGCCTGTAATGCAGGTCGCTTAATAGAGGAAGTCCGCCTATGTTTGTAATTATGAATTTAAGTCATAAAAGAGAAAAAATGATCATAACTTTTTCAAATAATTAGGCATGCAATGAAACTTGTTGTGTTTGTGTGATTCCGCATCATTGTCGGAAAAATATTTAAGAGTGGAACATTCTCTTAATTCTATCATGTTTGACTAGTAAATAAAGAGGAGTTTCTCTTGCAATGCAACCTTTAATTTAAGATCTTCAAAAAAATAAAATTACAATCTTATTTTATCTTTATCTTATATATCAAATATATTTATATAAAAGAGAACCCCAGGTACGTGGCGCCATCACAAATCAGAATTCTCTTTTATTTTACTCTCTACGGTCCAATTTATGTGACACTTTTTGGATTTCGAGATTCAAACAAATCTATCTTTGACCGTAAATTTTTCATATATCTTGTAATTATATATTTTGAATTGCCAATTATTGCGACTTATAGTACTGTTTACGTATTCTTAGCGTGACTTTGTTCAGGAGTGTTGAGGTTGACACTAATTGGAGAAGGACAAGGAATATAACAAGAAAACAAATGAAATAGAAGAGAAGAGAAGACTAACACGTTAATGGTTAGTTCTACTAAGCTTCTATTGGATGTCATTGATACATGATTAGTTACAATTCCATGTGTTAGTTAGCTTCAGTGAAAGTTAGTTAAGCAGTTAGTTAGTAACAGATTCTGTTACTAACTAACTGCTTAACTAACTTTCACTGAAGCTAACTAACACATGGAATTGTAACTAATCATGTATCAGTCATTAACAACAAAGACTTAGTGCAGAGTTGCACACCCTATTATTATCTTCTAGGTTACAATGTTGCAGCAGTTCATTGTGGACAATTACATGATAGTAGAAGAGAAGATTTTGTTATATTGGGAAATAGGCAGATCTTTTTTCTTGATTGAATGATGTTATTGCCCGAGGTGATTCTACTTGTCCCTGGTAGGAAAAACTGTTTGTCTTACATTCGTAGTGCAATGGTAACCTTGATTAATTGTTCTTCCTGTATCTTCCCCAACATCTTTCATACAACGCCTCTATGTTTGATCTCCAAAACTGTGCGAAACACCACCACAAATTCCTGTTTCCATAAATTTCTCCTGAAATTTTCCTTCCCTGAACTTGTCAAGATTGTAACTTTCGAAATCTCCTATTTTCCTTCATATAAAATTCGGCATCTAAAAACAAACCAAAACAACAACTTTTACATGTCACTCGTCCTTTCAATCTATCCTCAACTGAATAACCATTACCAAACATATAATATAACAACACAAACAATATTACTCCAAATTGAGAGTATAGAATTTCTTTTACATATATGAGCGTGACACACGTGAGTACAATCAATATAGTTGTATTCATTTCAATCCTCAGAACATCCAAGCATAATCTCGATAATCATATTCAGACATTGGAAAATTTATACAGGGAAGGCGGTCAGGTAGCTGATCCCACCAAGATTACAAGGCAATTATTTACAGTGTTATCTACAAATCTCTTCAAGCTTCTCTATTTTTACATCTTCCTTTGCTTTATCCTTCTCCACCACATTATTACCCTACCGCTACATCAACTATTTCCACGTTCATCCCCTACAAAATCTTACACTTCGTTACAACTCATTTTCCATATATGTTCTGGATTTTTATTTTTTTTAAAGAATACATAACCACCTAACTAAACTCCGGTGCTTACATTGGCTATTTCATGGTTAAGTTTGTATGCTTTCCTTCTCACAATTCACATTTTCATTCAAAATACAAGAATTTTCTGATGGATACCAAAGACGTTTCTTGCAGCACACTAAATCCCCCTGTGCAATTCATGTATGACGCTCTTTACAATCACAATCCATTATTTACTCTATTGTCACGACCCAAAGTACACCCTGGAGGTGATATGGCGTATAAGACCTCGAGAGGCCCTACACAAGCCACTTGACATACATACGACATGTACAACATAATAGCAATACGAGAATTAAAGGTAGAAAGTTTCATATTATAATAGTTTGATATACAAGCGGAAGTCTAATCATAGTCTCGACAAGACAATCTTATCCATCATGGTTGGGACGATTCCATACACCACATACAACGTCTGAAAACTAATGACATAAGAAAAACATAGTAAAAGTGACATGGTCCTCGGAACGTGAGGACTCACCAAGTCTTCAACCTCGAAATGATCAACCAACCACGGCGGGAGGAGAAAGATCGTCGGACCCTACATTTGTCAAACAATGTAGGCACAAGTATTCATTAGTACATGGAATGTACGAAAGTATGAGGGATATGCAAAAAAACATGAAACATGATCATAAAGGGACATATATAAAAGAAAACATGATATGCATGACCAAGCTAAACATAGTAAAAACTTTTAAAGAAAGATCATAAGTCATGAACATGGTCAATGCATCATAAAATTATAAGAAAGGCTTCATAAAATCTTTAAGAACAACTTATAGTTCATTTTGTGGGATATTTACTATTAACCGATATAGACCACATGAGCTATAAAGTGGAATTTGGTGTCTTGCTCCCACACCGAAAAGAGATGTCCTTACTTGCCAAGGCAAGGACCTTAACTTCTAGCTTATGTGGATCCACTAGCTATGTCAAATAAGACAATCCTATGGGGGCACGCAGTTAGGGACAATGAGATTGCTACTAGAGACTCGACCTCTACTAGCGGGAGAACCTCTATCTCAATATCCTCTCGGTGCTAAGTAAAATCCCAACGAAACTAGTCATAAACATAAATATATCATCATACATGGAAAATCACAATTAAGTTTCGAATCCAAGCTTAAAACATCATAGAGTAGCTCCTTAAACTATGTGTAAGAAAATCTTCCACTAATCATGATTCCTTAATGTGAGAAAACCTTTCACAATTTCATTGATGCTTATTTTGAAGTAACCTAGATCATGAAACATTCATTTTCATAAATCATGCATAACTTTCATGAAAACTTCATTCATATATTCATAGTTTCTTCATAAATACATGCCTTTAAGAGTTCATAGTCAAAATTATGAAAAATGCATGAGTTTGTATGAAATCAATTGAAAAGCATGTAATTGAGTCAAAACAATCATAATAAGATCAAAATCCAACAATTGATTCAAACACAATTAGAACCCATGAAGAATTGAATGAAAACCTAATCAACTTTGGTGAAATTGAACTTGGAGAAGTTGGGGAATCTTGGGGCTCAATGGGTGACCATTGATGAAACCCTACATACCTTGAGGATCAAAGCCCAAAAGCAATTGGAAGAATTGGAGACTTGAAGCTTGAAACCCTAGGAGTTCTTCCTTGATCTTGAGAGAATTTGGAGAGGATGAATGTGGATGGGAATTGGGGATTTGAGTGGATGAGAGAGTTGGGGTAATTTTAAGGGTAGAAGGGTAGTTACAGAACTTAAAATTACAGTCAAAATGACATAATATAGGTATTAAATGCATAGGAAAAATCCAAATAACTTTAAGAAATATCTGCCGGAGGACCCTACGGTTTGGACCTTTAGACCATACTGATCAACTGTAGGTCGAGTTACTGGGGCCTAAAGTTTCGGCAACTTTATACAACACCTTTCTACAGACCGTCTAAATTCCTACAGTCCGTAGACCTCAAGTTTTAACCCAAAATTTCACGAAGTTTGAAACCTTTCTATGGAACCCATCTACGACTCGTCGAACATCCTACGACCCGTCCTGTCGATTCGTAGGTCAGACTTCAGAAACTTGAATTTTCTCAAATCTCTACCTCATTCATATGAGTATCATTTATGACCTATAGAAACTTCTACAAACCGTAGACTGGTCTCATAGGACTCAATCTGTAGCCAGAAATCAGAAATTTTTCCTTCATTTTGACTTTACAATTTCGAGTTGTTACATCTATCCCTCTATCAGGTGCCACAATCTTAATCAAAGAACTACAACCCCTGCCCCTCATTTGCATATGCAAGACCATCAATTTTTGTGTCCATCTCCATATTGTTTTACTGATATCCCTTTGCTCTACATGTCATGTTTTTCCTTAAAATTTCTGATTTTAAAATGTTACACTCTGTTGTTTGTGATTCTGACATTTATGATGCCTTCCATCGTGATTAACATTTACATCATCTCTTTAATAGATCATCAAGTTGATTAGAAAAGTCAAAAAACCAAACAAAGGATCACTTTGGCTATGCTACCATTTAAAATAAAATGGTAGTTTCAAAACTATGTGAGCACCATGCCTGAGGGTCAAATAGCTTGCGTGGTTGGTTCCATTGAACTTGTGAGTCAGATTTTTTGGAGGAAGGGGAGGAGAAGATAACACGTACAAATTTGACTAATTCACGATCCTCGAGTGAGGTATTGAGGATTTACTTTCAATTATGTGGTGTAGTTGTA